CCCCCCTTCCCAAATTTTGTATACGCATTATAAACACAGTGTTCTCAGAAGAGATCTTCTGTCCAGCATGACACAGTGTTTATGGCGGTTCCTACAGCTATTCATTCATCTCTCCTACAGCCATATCAACAGCGTATCAAGAACAACAGAAAAATTATTCACGCGGCACATTTCTGGTGCTTGTTGGTTTTATTTTACCTCAGTACAGTATTTTAGAAGTTCTCCAAGATGTTAAAAAGCATGACCTCTGCCTTTAGAAATCATTAAGAGAAGCAAATAGAGTCACAGGCATGGGGAAATGTTAGGCACTTTAATTTTTTGACATTTCTGCAGAGTAAAAGTACTCTGCGGAACTAAAGGAAGTGGAGTGAGGCTCTGAACTGAGATTGAACCAGCAGTTCATGAGACTTAAATTAGGATGTAATCAGTTCTGGAAAAGAGTATGAAAAAGAAAACAGAATCTCTCTGCAGAACACTGGCCTCCATCTCTGCGCAGAAAGCATCGTATAGGCAGTTATTTCAGTATAAATAAGATGGCCAAACATATGTAATAATGACTCATTAAGATAAAAATCTTTGTTTAATCTTCCCAGCAGTAAGAAATAAAAAAAAACCTTTACTTTCCAACCTCCAAAATACAGATATCCAGGCTCCTCCCAAGTGCAAGCAACCAGAAAGCTCACACCAACCTTCCCACCCCATCAGCAGCGAGGGGAGATGTCGCTTGTCCTGCGGTTCCCTGCAATGGTCTCTGCAGTCAGGTCCAAAGCAGAACCCAAAACCTTCTGGGGCTTTAAGACTTCAGCAGTCTGATAAAGACATCCTCCAACAAGATGAGCTCTCTCTGCTGCAGCGTGGCTAACAGAAGCACATTTCCACATTGCACATGCTGAAATGCCACAGTATTCTCATCTCACTGGTCAAGAAGCTCCCGCCTACTGGCCATTTCTCTGCTACCACTCACATTCTTCAACCTTCTCATCTGAAGGACAACACCAAAGTGTAACCTTGAGAGCAGCATCCAAGACTAATTGTAATTTTTAAACTCCGCTCA